TGACAGTCGTAGGTCTAGGCGTGAGTATATTAGCTACGACAGCCGTAGGTCTAGGCGAGAGTATATTAGTTACGACAGCCGTAGGTCTAGGCGTGAGTATATTAGCTACGACAGCCGTAGGTCTAGGCGGGAGTATATTAGTTACGACAGCCGTAGGTCTAGGCGAGAGTATATTAGCTACGACAGCCGTAGGTCTAGGCGAGAGTATATGAGTTACGACAGCCGTAATTTCAGGCTAGAGTAAGGTACGACATTCGCAAGTCTACGTCTAATCAACTGCAGAGCTACTAAGTCTGAATCTGGCAAACAGAGTAATATTTTGAACATCGACATTACACACTACTTGGATTTATGTCTCATTCATGTTATACGTCACATAAATGATTGATGTCTAAATTGGCTTCTTCTCTTTTTCAATCGCCATCTTCTCCATGGTGTGGTGGTTAGAATATCTGCTCGAAGAGCGAAAGGTCGGTGGCTCGATCACTTGGCCGCGTCATGCCAAAAGACGTTAAAAAATGGTACTTGTTGTTACCCTGCCTGGCGCTCGGGATTAAAACAAGGATTGGGCGGGTCGGAGTATAATGCGTCGGAGTGCGGTATTGTTGTTAGACTGCGGAATAGTATCTCAGTGTACACGCACTATAACACTTGTATAAGTCCGAACTAGCACACGCACGCACGAACGCACGCACGCACGCACGCACGCACATGCATGTATATTAAAATGGATAAACCCAATTTCTCATTACTCTTCGTTGGTGGTCAGTACCCAGTCTTCTGTGACCACGCCATACAGCTATGTTCAAGTCCACATAGCAGTATTTCATTTAGTTTACGACGAGGTAGATTGATATGGAAGGGAACCCCGAAATAATGCATTCATAGACATTGACAATTTTGGTAAATCCACGAACATGGTTCTGACAAACCGGAAATTCTGGTAAGTGAGTAATTGGAATTCGAACCACGACTATACTACAAGGATCCTGATACGCACCGCAACGTCATAGACGACTAGACCACCCATAGCCGTAGTTGGAATCTGACTTAAGGTGTTATGTCTGGTAAAACTAAAAATGTCGACACTACACTGAAATACGTGTAATCAAAGGTACCACTGTTTCTTTTCTGTTGTCGAAACACGAGCCAGCAAGTGTCGAAAACCCCGTGAAAATCCGGGTTAGAATCGATCTTCCGGAACCAATGCTTGATGTACTAACGGGATAAGATGGTCAGGCTCGGTGACGTGGTTGATGCATGTCATCGTATCCCAATCGTGTTTATCGATGATCATGATGTCAGTCATTGGATTCGAGACTCGATTATTTACAGACCGCCGTCATATAGCCGGAATATTGTTGATTTCGGCGTTAAACAAGCAACCAAAAACAAACACGTGTTAGAGAGAATCTGACACAAATAAACACAGTAACCAAAATAATTGCAACAAGGCAATGACACCTTTCCGGTGGACGTATGAGTCAAAACCTTAAAACCATAGGGGCACGGGTGGCCCAGTCGTCTAAGGCGCCGCGATTCGCTGTGCAGAGTTGCGTCCCTTGGGCACGCCAGAAACCTATGATTGTGGGTTCGAATCTCGGTTCGCTCCGATTATGTTTCTAGGTTTGTCAGCACCATACCCGTGCTCGTGGGTTTCACCGAAGTGGTAAACGTCTGAGACCTGCATCACTTCGGGCTTTCCTCCCACATTAAGCTGACACGCCGCGATATAACTGGAATACTGTTAAAAGCGGCGTTAAACCCAACTCACTCACTCACTCACGTAACACCACAATGAAACCGTTCTTGCGTGGTTAGCATTATACAGTTGTACGTTTGTGGCACTGCGCCAATACCTCTGACTTGACCCTCCTTCCAATCACAAGGCCCCACCCACCTCACCCACCTCACCCACCTCACCCACCTCACCCACCTCACCCCCCATGAACAGCGTGTCAGACAGAATGGGTGATCGTCAGATAGCCCCCGAATTGTAGTTTCACTTGCAGACGGGGAGTCTGCAACCCTGCCTACAACATCATTGTCACTAAACGCCATCTTTAAAAATCTTTTCGCAATAAAACATTTCGATTATCAATAAAACTTAGTTTTCTATCCTGACGGAGTCGAACATGTGCTATAAAAGAGTATAATGGGGGAAGTTATTCGTCTAACGTCGTAGTTTTCTTCTTATTTATAGAATGATAAATACCGCGCTAACACGGGGTTTTCATTTACATGTGGGGAGTGAGACACAGTTTATGAATAAACGACAAATACATTACATTAGGTCCTGTCCGTGATCACCGGGAAGACTCGACGATTTAATACACACATTACATACTGTGTCGTGATCAGGGGAAGACCCGAGGACTTAATACACACATTACATACTGTGTCGTGATCAGGGGAAGACCCGAGGACTTAATACACGCATTACACTAAGACTGTGTCGTGATCTCCTGGAAGACCCGAGGAGTAAATACATGCATAAGACCGAGATTGGGTCGTGATCAGGGGAAGACATGAGGACTTAATACACGCATTACACCGAGACTGGGTTGTGATCAGGGGAAGACATGAGGACATAATACACGCATTACACCAAGACTGGGTCGTGATCAGCGGGAAGACCCGAGGACTTAATACACGCATTACACTAAGACTGGGTTGTGATCAGCGGGAAGACCCGAGGACCTAATACACACATTACACCGAGACTGGGTCGTGATCAGGGGAAGACCCGAGGACTTAATACACATATTACATCGTGACTGGGTTGTGATCAGGGGAAGACCCGAGGACTTAATATACATATTACACTGAGACTGGGTCGTGATCAGCGGGAAGAACTGAGGACTTAATACACATATTACACCGAGACTGGGTCGTGATCAGCGGGAAGACATGAGGACTTAATACACGCATTACACCGAGGCTGGGTCGTGATCACCGGGAAGACATGAGGACTTAATACATGCATTACATACTGTGTCGTGATCAGCGGGAAGACATGAGGACTTAATACATGCATTACACCGAGACTGGGTCGTGATCACCGGGAAGACCTGAGGACTTAATACATGCTTACACTGAGACTGGGTTGTGATCAGGGGAAGACCTGAGGCCTTAATACACACGTTACACTGAGACTGGGTTGTGATCAGCGGGAAGACCCGAGGACTTAATATACATATTACACTGAGACTGGGTTGTGATCAGGGGAAGACCCAGGACTTAATACACACATTTCATCGAGACTGGGTCGTGATCACCGGGAAGACCCGAGGACTTAATACACACATTACATCGAGACTGGGTTGTGATCAGGGGAAGACCTGAGGACTTAATACACACATTACACCGATACTGGGTTGTGATCACCGGGAAGACCTGAGGACTTAATACACACATTACACTGAGACTGGGTTGTGATCAGGGGAAGACCCGAGGACTTAATACACACATTACATACTGTGTCTTGATCAGGGGAAGACCCGAGGACTTAATACACGCATACACGTGACTTGGCTAGATCAGATCTGATGACGACTCTCCAAGATGGCTGACAGAGGACTTTATACATACGTAACATCGAGGCAGAGCACATGAGAAGATCTAATGACGACTCTCCAATATGGCTGACAGAGTCACTTCGGGATTTCCTCCCACACTATGTTGACACAGTGCTGCAATACTGTTCAAATGATGTCACAACGACATCCCTTGTTCGCTCTAACGTATGTGACGGTTTGCTGTGTTTAACATGTACAGTGTGACACGTCTTTTTAAGGTTAACTTAACATGTGAGTGAAATAGAGTTAGTCTGTTGGTATGGTCAAAGTTTTGTAACGTATGTTTATTTGTTGTTTAACGCCGCATTAAGAAATATGCCAGCTCTATGACGCCAGTCTGTAACTAATCGAGCCTGGACCAGGCAATCCAGTGACTGACATCATGAATATCAATCTATGCAATTAGGATACGATGACATGCAACAACCAAGTCAGCGAGCCTGACCACCCGATTCCGTTAGTCCCGTCTTTTTAAAGCAAGCACGGGTTGCTGAAGACCTATTCTAATCCGGATCGCCCACTAAAAGTGTCAAAGGTTTAGGTTACAGCAAACACATTGGTCAATGTTCAAATAGTTGATAACTACTTTTCTTTCTCTTGCACTTGCAACTGTTGGACTCTTGACATGAATAGGTATACCTAAGTATGGCTTTAATGGGTTAAAAAGGTAGATATTTCGAACGGTAAGGAAATATGAGTAATTCCGTACCAAACACAGCATCATCCATATGTTTGTTACACTCTAAAATCGACATATGTTAATCTTACCCAAACATTTAATGTTATTTCAAAAGCATGTATTAAAATGCACAAACTATTTTCTCATTTGGATAAACGCATTTTTACTTTCCTTTTTATAAATAATGTAGACTCTGTGGGCCCAAAGATGATTTTATACCTCGTTTTTCGAATTAAAGTTGGAATGCAACCCTATCACGTGTCTATGCAGTCCGACAGATCGTCCTGTACAGGGAACAATCCCCATGTCACCACACGAACCAGGTATCCGTTCATGGGAATCGACGATAATGGAAACTGGTGTTATATGTTCCTCTACGTGATGGCGTAGTAACGGTAATTGTTGCTCTGTACCCACCCCGCGTCCAGCTTCCATCCTGCACCCATCTATCAACCCAAACCAATTAACTCCCTTTAGAATTAGGATAAAAACATACAGCATCTCGTTTTAAATATAGGTATTTCCTTGCTGTGTCTCAGCCTGTGTTTTATCCTGCTACCGTAGACGTAGGAGCCATTCACTGAACACAACCATTACGCTGATAGCTGCGGCATTGAGTTGATGTACTACATGCAGAAATAGATGTATTCAGAGCTCTCCGTCATCCTCGTAGCCGTGCGGACACGGTAGCGCTTTGATCTTATCCAACTGCGACAGGGACGTCGTATATTTGTGACGTTGTTGGTGATGTTGCTCTACAAGCTTAGCTGTCCACGGAGAGGAGATTTATTACAGCTGTGTATATCGATTCTGTTTCCACCTGGCAACAACTGCGGCAGAAATAGCCAGTAAGTCCCCCGCACGTGTGTCCCTGTTCACAGTCCAGGTAGCCCATATTTAATACCATTTGTAATTTCCTATCTAAGTCCGTGTTTGCGTCACAGCGTCTGTTCGCCATCAGACAGGGCCTAACGAATCAAGTTTCAGTGGCGATCGATGAAAGTTTGTTATAAGCGCGTTCTGTGAGTCAGGGCGTGTTTGTGACGTGACCCCAGCGTATTGTGTTGTAACCTGTATAGGTCAAGACTGAGCAGTGACAGTCATTTACGCCATCTTTATTTTAATTGCACTTTTTTGACGGCATGTTCAGTTTATTTGTCCGGTTCTCTTTGATAATGTTTCTAGGTTCCTGAGCACCAAAATATCCCAGCTATATGACAGCGGTATGTAAATAATCAAGTCTGGACCAGACAATCCAGTGATTATTTGTAGAAGTGATTCTCTTTCTTGATAATCCCGTAATGGGATTCGAACCAAAGAGGTTAACCCTGTCAGCAAGCTGACAAGGTAAGGATGTCATCTGTGGAATGACTCCCCACCCTGCTACATATGACATTGCTTGTCGCGAGGTCAATATCAAGTTTGAATTACTGGCAATGTATTTGGGTCCAAATTTGCAACATATTAAATATAATTGTATCACTGGGATTGGTTCAAAACTTGTCATCGTAATGTATCCCCAAAAATTGTAATGGTTGACATTTCTGTATTATCAAGGTGAGATTAGGTTAGTTGGTTTCTTGTTTAATGCCACACTCAGCAATATTCCAGCTATATGACGGCGGTCTGTAAATAATCAAGTCTGGACCAGACAATTCAGTGATTGACATCATGAGCATCGATCCACACAATTGGGATACGATGACATGCATCAACCAAGTCAGCGAGCCTGACCACCCGATTCCGTTAGTCGCCTCTTACGACATGCATAATCACCTTTTACGGACAGCATGGGTTGCTGAAGACCTATTCTAACCTGAATCTTCACGGGCAGATAATTACTAAATATGTGATGAATTGTTTAGTGTGTGTGTGTTTTACATGAATACCATACAGTATATTGACTCCGACTGAACCAGTCCTTATTTTCCGAGCGCCATTATTTCCGAGCTCCAGGCAGGGTAACAACACGTACCATCTTTTAACATCTTTTGGTATGACGCGGCCGGGAGTCGAATCCCCGACCTTCCGCTCTTTGGGCAGACGCTCTACGACTGGACTATGGTAGCAGTCTGTAGAGGTCTAAGACCCGCATTACTTCGAATTCAACCCCCCTATCAACTGGTTATGTCGTGATATAATTCAAATGTATTGTTTTCAAAACACACCTGAACATGTATTCTAATGATTGATGGTGTGATACATTAATGGTAGGACACATTGATGGTGAGATGATGAGACACTAATGGTAAGATGGTGAGACACAGTGAGGGTGAGATGTGGGACACACTTATGGTGAGACACATTAATGGTGGGACACACTGATGGTGAGATGGTGAGACACTTATGGTAAGATGGTGAGACACACTAATGGTAAGATGGTGAGACACACTGAGGGTGAGATGGTGAGACACACTGAGGGTAAGATGCACTGACAGTGAAACACACTGATGGTGAGATGCACTGCTTGTGAGATGCACTGCTGGTGAAGGGCACTGGTGGTGAGAGGCACTGATGGTGAGACACATTGATGGTGAGACACACTGATGGCAGGACATACTGGTGGTGATACACACTGATGGTGAACGAACACACGCTCTATCCACCAGACCATGGAAGTGCTCTACGAACACACGCTCTATCCACCAGACCACGGAGGTGCTCTACGAACACACGCTCTATCCACCAGACCACGGAGGTGCTCTACGAACACACGCTCTATCCACCAGGCCACGGAGGTGCTCTACGAACACACGCTCTATCCACCAGACCACGGAGGTGCTCTACGAACACACGCTCTATCCACCAGACCACGGAGGTGCTCTACGAACACACGCTCTATCCACCAGACCAAGTAGGTGGTCTACGAACACACGCTCTATCCACCAGACCACGGAGGTGCTCTACGAACACACGCTCTATCCACCAGACCATGGAAGTGCTCTACGAACACACGCTCTATCCACCAGACCACGGAGGTGCTCTACGAACACACGCTCTATCCACCAGACCACGGAGGTGCTCTACGAACACACGCTCTATCCACCAGACCACGGATGTGCTCTACGAACACACGCTCTATCCACCAGACCAAGTAGGTGCTCTACGAACACACGCTCTATCCACCAGACCACGGAGGTGCTCTACGATTACACGCTCTATCCACCAGACCACGGAGGTGCTCTACGAACACACGCTCTATCCACCAGACCAAGTAGGTGCTTTACGAACACAAGCTCTATCCATCAGACCACGGAGGTGCTCTACGAACACACGCTCTATCCACCAGACCACGGAGGTGCTCTACGATTACACGCTCTATCCACCAGACCACGGAGGTGCTCTACGAACACACGCTCTATCCACCAGACCACGGAGGTGCTCTACGAACACACGCTCTATCCACCAGACGAAGTAGATGCTCTACGAACACACGCTCTATCCATCAGACCACGGAGGTGCTCTACGAACACACGCTCTATCCACCAGACCACGGAGGCGGCCCCTGGGGAATTAATCCGAACAGTCGATTTAATGCAAAACACGGGGAAGAAGATCCCTCTGCTTTTAATTTGTAATTTCTGTTCTATTTCGATGTATATTTCATTTGTACCACAACACCTGCCCATCTGTTCGGAAGACATCGCCTAATGTCCCTAATTGAGATGCTTAATGACCTATGTATTATATAGAAGGTTGCATGGACCCGGTTTTTTAACGGCACATGTTGAAATTCATCCTCCTGGTATTGTACAGAGTTCTCCATTGATTACAGGAGCAGATTTGAATACATTGCGTTGATATCATGAGACGAGCCCGTCCAGGTGTCGTTCTTTAGGCCTGCTATGCCCAGGTGTCATTGCAAGACCACCCGTTTGACAGTACTTGTCCCACAGACAAGGTATTACTCTTTTACTAATGATTTGTCAAACATTCGGGAAATTTGGGATATTGACATCCTTGCCCACTACCCCCCGACCTCCACACACACACACACACACACGCACGCACGCACGCACGCACGTACCCACGCACGCACGCACGCACGCACAAAAACACACGCACGCACGCACAAACACACACACGCCCCCTTGCCATATATAATTATATTCAGGACTTTTAAAGATGAACCCGTGAAGATCTTCAGCAACCCATGCTTGCCGTAAAAGGCGACTATGCTTGCCGTAAAAGGCGACTATGCTTGCCGTAAAAGGCGACTATGCTTGCCGTAAAAGGCGACTATGCTTGCCGTAAATGGCGACTATGCCTGTCGAAAGAGGCGACTAACGGGATCAGGTGGTCAGGCTCGCTGACTTGGTTGATGCATGTCATCGTATCCCAATTGTGTACCTCGAAGCTCATGATGTCAATCAATGGATTGTCTGGTCCAGACACGATCATTTTCAGACCGTCATCATATAGTGGGGATATTGATGAGTGCGGCGTTAAACAAGAAAGAAAGAAAGAAACTTCTAGATGACAACATCGTACATATATCATTCCCGCCCCAAGGACAATCATATTCCGTTGTACACCATTAGTCACCCATGAGGTGTGTTTCTCTGGCCTGTCTTCGTCACCGACGGACAGCGGATATCTACATCTGAAGTCGGTCCTCGGAGACGTTGACAATGACGACAATGCGCCAAAGCCGCAGAGGACGACACCGCCACCGTGAAGTGCAAATACGTGACAGGCAATCCATTTGGGTCAATATCTGATATGGAATACCATTACCAAAGGGAGATAACCGATGGATCAGTTGATTTCATGGTTTCTTGGAAGCTTCCGTGGCCTGATTTAAGAATCGGACTGCTAATCCCCCCTGAGATGAGGGAGCAGGTTGCATGCTGATGGTTCGCGCTGACTTGACCTAGATTGGGAGTCAATAATCCTTGTGACAAACCTGGTATTAACTACATATTACACAGGGAGAGTTGCGGTAGGGTAGCCTCGTGGTTAAAGCGCACGCTCGTCACGGGTTCGATTCCCAACATGGGTACAATGTGTGAAGCCAATGTCTGGGGCCCCCCGCAGTTATATGACTGGAATATTGTTAAAAGCGGCGTAAAACAAAACTCACTCATTCACAAACAGAGGGAGTTCAATTTTTCCATGTTACGTCATACTATCGGAGAAGAGTTTTACCTACCGTGCAGTCGAGATGTGAGTAAGGTAACCAATCTGAATGGAAATTCTCATTATTGACACAATTTATTGTGTCATGTTATGACGTGAGAGGATTAGTGACGTCATGAACACAATGTAACGCCAGAGGATAGTGTTATTGATACCATTATCCATACATGAAACTATTACTTCTTGTGTATAATTTCACAGGCGGACTTTTTCTTCTTCCCTCCCATGTCAGATCGCCTCCGTGGTCTAGTGGTAGAGCGTCCGCCCGGAGAGCGGAAGGTCCTGGGTTCGATCCCCGGCCGCATCATACCAAAAGACGTTAAACTTGTAAACTTGGTACTTGTTGTTACCCTGTCTGACGCTCGGCATTAAGAGGCTAAAACAAGGACTGGTCGGCTCGGAGTCAGTATACTGTGTCTGAGTGGATTATTCATGTTAAACTGCGGCATGGTATCTCAGTGTGCTAGCACTATAAATCGGCATCAGTCCGAACAAGTACAAGCAGCCACACACACACACACACGTGCATGCACGTCGTTATATTAGTGCAATAATCTTGGACGCGACGTGAAACCCCATTTAACCTGACCCTCCCATTTTAAAGATTCGGTTGT